ATCCCTGGGAAACCTACAGCTAACATAATTGCTAATGTTAAAACTCAGGATAAACCTGTCAGCTTTTATTTGTAGTATTTATCCTTTTTTGATAAAGTCAGCTTTATTGAGGTGGAATTTACATATAATAAAATTCACCCATTTTTAAGCATACATGTCAAAGTGTTTTTAAAAATGTATACAGTCATGTAGCCATCACTACAATTATGATACAAAAGTCCTTTCTTCTATGAAATTAGTCATCTTTCCTCACCTGTTGGCTCCTGGAAACCATGAATATTCTTTCTGCTTTTTCTAGAATTTCTAAATTTTCCTTTTCTAGGATTTCATATACATGAAATCATATAGCATGTACTCTTTTGTGTCTGGCCTATTTCACTCACCAGAATGCTTTTCAGACGTATCAATGATTTTGTGTGCATCCGTAGCTAGCTGGCTGTATTTATTGCTGAATTGTTGTCCATTTCATGGCTGAACCATAATTTGTTTATCCATTCAACAGCTGAAAGAAACTTGGGTTGATTTCCAGTTTGGGCTATTATTAAAAAAGCTGTAATTATTAATTATTAATTATTAATCACATTTAAATCTTTAGGCTGTATTTATTGCTGAATTGTTGTCCATTTCATGGCTGAACCATAATTTGTTTATCTATTCAACAGCTGAAAGAAACGTAGGTTGATTTCCAGTTTGGGCTATTATTAAAAAAGCTGTAATTATTAATTATTAATTATTAATCACATTTAAATCTTTACATAGAGATATATTTTCTTTTGGGTAAATACCTAGAAGGGTTATTACCAAGTCCTGTCTGAGTCATATACTGAGTTGTGTTTATCTTTAAACAAACAAACAAACAAACAAAACAACTCAGCTTCCAAAATGGCTATTGTACTTTCCATTTTTCCATTCCTACAACAGATCCTGTGTTCCAATTGCTCCACCTCTTACCAACACTGAAATTAGGTTTTTGTTTTATGTATTTTAGTTTTAGACATTTTAGTGAGTGTGTAGTGGTTATCTCCTTGTGGATTTAATTTGCATTTCTCTAAAACTAATGGTGATAAGTATCTTTTTGTGTGCTTGTCAACTGTATATTTTCTTTGGTGAAGCGTCTGTTCAGATATTTTCTATTTTGTTGTTTGTTCATTCTCTTACCTTTGAGTAGTTAGAAATTTTACATATTCTGAATACAAGTTTCTTTACTAGATATGTTCTGCAAATCGATTCTCTTATGGTTTTTTTTTTTTTTTTTTTTTTGGTTTTTTTTTTTTTCATTTATTTGAGAGTATATTTTGAGGACTTTTTTATTTTGAAGAAGTACAAAAAATGTAACTTTTTTTCTTTTATGGCTTACACTTTATATATAAGAAATGACAGATTAGTCAAAGGCCTCAAAGAAATTAGGTATGTTTTATTAACAGATTAGATACTATGTTGAAATAATAATTATGTACCATTGCCTTTGGTTTCTATTTATTTTTGCATTTCAGATGTCCTCTTATCATTTTTTTTCTTTCTAGGTTGATCCTTGAAAATTTTAGTTTTTGCCTTGTTTTCAAGCTATTCAAGATAATTCCTTGTCAAAATTTTGGTAACTCCAGTATTCAAAAAGATAATTCTTCCAAAACTGAAACCTCAGCTCTTTGATTTCCTTTCTTCACATAATCTGATCCATCTTCTTTCCTCTAGTTACTCATTCTCATGGTCAATCTCAATTTTAAGCAATTTACTTAACAATGTTAAGTAAAACATTTTACTTAACATTGTTAAGTAAATCATAAGGTCTAATCATTTCACCTTCCTCTCTGGAGGATTCCAAATCAAATAATCTTTCAATACATAAGAACCTACAATCAATTGATCCTATCGACTTTTCACTGTATCATACATATCCACCCTCTTGTCCCCACTTCCTTTTTGATCCAGTTTAAACACTGCAGTCACTATATTATAGAAATTAACTTGCATGTAACATAAACTCCTTGTGCCCTTCCTTGCTTAATATATTCTCTTAGCTAAAGCAAAACCTTGGTTAAACCCAGCTTACCACTTACTCCTTGCCAACCCACACACAGTGTAAAGCAGCTAGAGAAGAACATAAAGCTTTGCTAACTCATGACCAGCAAATCACAATTTCACCGTATTTTCCTATTCCATTCACTCTTGGACAATTATTTCACATACTCTCATCTCCTGAAAACCAACAAAGTTTTTACTATTCGAATTTTTAGCAGATGACCTTGTTTCCTACATCACTGATTAAAAAAACAAAAACAAAAAACTTCCACAAATGGCCACACTATTTCTGTGCCCATTTATTCTGTTTCCTCTTGTTACTTTAAATGCAGCGTTCATGCTCCTAGCAAAGGCAAATTCCACCACTTATTCACCAAATCCCAGTCCCGGTATGTCTATTCATGACACTTACTCTAGCTCTTTCTCTCTACCATCAATTTTTCCTTCTCTACTGCATCATTTCTATCCAAATATAAACATGTTTCCATTTTGCATTTGAAAAACAAAACACATGCACAAAAACAAAAAGCATCTTTTGGTCCCAGTCTGCATTAGCTGCCATTCTTATACTAGCCATTACAGCAATATTCTTAGAGAGAGCAGTTTCTAAAATCCCTCCTCTCAGCATCATTTAAACCCAATCCAATCAAACTTTTGTCCTCACTTACTTAATCAAAACTGCCCTTATCAAGTTTGTCACATCTGGAGGTCAATTCTCATTTGTCATCTTGATCACTATTTTTCCACGGTTTTAAAATTATTCATCTCCCCATGCTGACTGTGAACTCTTTGAGATGCTGTATGTCATTTATTTTGCTATCTTGAATATTTGAAACATTTCATTATATATGTGTAACCCTTAAAACATATCTGCTTAATGAATAAACAACAAAATTTAACATCTGAAAATTGGAAATTCCAACAACAGCACATCATTATTTACTAACCACAAATTTAGGTAGAACCTTGTTTGAAAGTTCAGATGAATTTCTGAGGCTTATTTTACCTCCAGAGATACTTTAGGAGAGTATTATGAGGAGACAGAACTTCAAATATGAAATTTTGAAAGCAGATATTCAAATATTTACATATATGAATTTTTTCACAAACCTTTATACATTATACTCTAACATATATTTTATTGTAATTGAATCCTATAAAGTGCATGAGTTGCCCATCCACAAATTAAAAATAAAGCCTAAGGGCTTATATTTTAAATAGTCAAAAATAAAACCAAAGGGTGTGACAGGGTATGATTGTTCTAAAGGTACTCTAAAATTAAGTACAAAGATAACATAATGATAGCTACACAACCTGCTATATTTTAAATTTTCTTTCATTAAACAAATTGCTAGGACATTGTTCATAAGACACTTCCATGTCAAATGAAGATGAAAGCCTTCTAGCTCTAGCTGAAGTTATTTTTTTTTCCAAAATATAATTGTTAGAATCTCGATCTTACCTCAGTTTCCAATAAAAATCACTAGTGGACATTATAAAATTAAATAATAGTTCATTATTCTCCATTGTATTTCCAACTACTGTGTGTGCAATCATAAAAAGAAATAAAGCTGCACAATTCTTAGGATCCATAACAATAACTCAGGAAAAGAATAGGAAGAAATGGAACCATAAACATGTATCACAACTTCCATGGAACAGCTTTTCAAAATTAAGTTTGAAAGTAGACAAAGCTTGGTATTTTGAATCATCTATGACTCTCTTACTTAATTCACATCAGCCGAAGTGAAAGTGCCCAAAATGTCAAATTAACTTGCTCAAATTATTTTTCTCAACTTTACAATGCCCTTTAGGAACACTATTACTGAGAAGCCATTGTTGGCATTTACAGCATAAAACTTGATTTTGGAAGGCTGATATTGCAACAGCCTAAATATTACTAAATTGAAAACTGTATAGTACCAGTTCTTTGATCATGCTAAATGAAAAACTTAGTTTGTGGATGACCCACTTTTAGTTGAAAAGGAAAAAAAAAAGCAGGGTTAGAGTTAGAATGATTTTACTGGTTGATTCATATTTAGATATAAGGAAAGAATAAAAACTATCTACAATTAAAAAAACTTGAGATAAACTCATGGATAAAAAATGAATAATTTAATATATTCATGTATTATCTTTCATATATTTAGTGTGAGTTATGATATAAAAAATAGACATTCACATACTGTATTAATCTTACTGGTGCAGAGACTTCTATTTAAATAAAACAAATCATAGTGTTATCCATTTAAAATAATTTAGAAATGTATTCTCCTTTATATTTCAAGTTCAGTACAAGTAAAATCTATCACTAAGGAAAATGCGTAACAAATAAGAGTAGAATGCTTATCAGTATGAAATAACCAATCTAGCTCTTAAATGAACCATGTAAAGACTTCATTTCAAACAAAGAATTATAAATTGATATAGGTATCAAAAGCAACTCCTAGAAAAACAATTACATCCAAGGACAACAATTTTTCTACCACTTGCCATGATAAATAATATCATTGTTCTTTCACATGTAAAAGAAGCAGTCGTGGTTTTGTCTATTTTTCTTTATATGTATAGACATAAAGAATGCAAGAAATAACTGTCTTTTCCTTGTCTTATAGACTTTCTACAGCTAGTCAAAATATTATTTACAATATTGTTTCTCCTTTCCAAACTCACTGGAAAAAAATATTTTAATCATCTGAATAAAGAAGGAGATGTAGGCTGGGACTACCTGTTTTTTTTTTTTTTTTTTTAGACCGAGTCTCGCTCTGTCACAAGGCTGGAGTGCAGGGGACAATCTCAGCTCACTGCAACCTCCACCTCCTGGGTTCAAGCGACTCTCCTGCCTCAGCCTCCCGAGTAACTGGGACTACAGGCATGCACCACCACGCTGAGCTAATTTTTGTATTTTTAGTAGAGACGGGGTTTCACCATGCTGGCCCAGATAGTATCTTCTCTTGATCTCATGATCCACCTGCCTCAGCCTCCCAAAGTGCTGGGATTACAGGCATGAACCACCGCACCCAGCCAGCACTAACTCTTAAAGTGAATAAGAACTATCAGTAAGCTAGATCTGATTCTATAATAACTTTACAAAACAACAAACTTACAACAATGAATTCACAAATTGAGTTCATACCTACCTAAATGTACCATTATATTCAAAACCTCTCAGTATTTACAATGTGTATATTCACAAAGTTTATGTTGTTACAGACACAGTCAGAAAACAATCACGCTCCCCCCAACCCCCTCCCCACGTTGCCCTTAAAGATAAATAAAACATAAATTGAAGCTGTGTGTCTCATGGTCTATGTGCTCTGCACTCTAATGTTCCGCATGTCTCTCAACAGCACTGTTCGGTAGTTTTGTTCCAGATTTTCCATGTATTCAAAATAATCACTCACTCGAAACCCACGCAGTGCTTCTTCCTGCCAACAATTATAAAGGGAAAATCATTTACTTGGCTAAGACACACAATTCCAAGTTAATCAATTTTGAATCATTGATACACCATTTATTTTCAGCTATAGATGGAGGCAGGCTGTTTATATTGCTGGTAAATGTGTAATTGCTTTTTATTTAGTGGGCTTTGTATGTATACGACAGGAAGAAACTATTATGTCCTCATCAAATAAGGTTTTCTATTTTCAAAACTAAAAAGTTTTACAGCTACCAAAAAAACAAAAAGACTTAGATAAGAAAATCTGCCTAATTTTTAAAATAGTATCATGTTATACAATGGTTGTTCAAATTTGTAAAAGACTCTAAAGTTTACCTACCAAACGATACCATAATAGTGCAAGAAATATCTGTTGCATAAGCTACTGTCCATAAGGCCTCCAGGAATCTGCAATTCCTAATGTTGGTACGACATACATCTATACTAATTTAGAACTTAATGGTTAGTGTTCCAAATGAGGCACTCAAGAATAAACAGTAAGAACACCCGTTTAACATTTTAGAGTCTTTTAGGGAATTTAATGACTATTCCTTTTAGTATCTCCAAATACTCTCTCTGCAGTACCTATACTCAAGGCAAAACAAAATAGGCTGAAAAGTCATCTTTGATTCAATGTAATTAATATTTATAATGTTAGGAGTTTTGGAGATTACAAAAAACTAGAAAATTCATGCCTTTCAGGAGTTTATAGGTTTTTTTTTCTTTTTAGAGCAAGAATTACTGTAACAAGAAAAAAAACAAAAGCAACCCAAAAGAATAAAAGACAATGTATATCATATACCAGATACTTTGCTAGAGGCAGTTTATAGAGAAGAAACCTCAATATAGAAATAGCTAGGAAAGCATTACACAATTCTCAATAAGAACAGATTTTTTAAAGGCTTGAGATATCCCTTGTCACTTACAGGTGGTAATCATTTACAGCTTGCATATAATGTGGGGTAACTTTATTCTTATTTTGCCATCATTACCAAAAATCTACATAGTTTGAGGGAAAGGTTAGTCAGGACATTCTAAAAAATTATTAATGACTGATTTACAAGGCTGATATTACAGCTGAAGAAATGAAATGCTGTTGTTACATACTTAATACCATTAAGGCTAGAGCAAATACCTTCCAACATAAATATCTGAGCTCTATTCAACATAATTAAGAAATTATTTCATCCCTTCTTTCACTTTTTCATTCACTCATTCATTCTCTTGTTATACATAAGATTCTTAATTAGCACTGAAGACACAAAGATGAGCAAGAAGAGCCCTGCCCTAAAATGTTGACAGGTGAGGTGTATATTGTGTCTCTGCTTTTATGTGTAAGTAATTGAATCAAAGGAAATATTTTTATCTTATGAATAGCAGAAATACTGGGTCTTTGCAAGTTCCTGTCCTACCAAAAATATTTCACTTTTTTCTTTGGAGCAAAAATCGGATCAAAGTAAGAACAATCCTACCATTCAAGAACTCATTTCAAACAGTTATTGTTATAGTCATGGAACAATTATGCATTTATCCATTCATTTCATTCAAGTTTTGTGTGACTTGGCTTTAACTACCTCTTCATTAAAACTACCTAAGATGGGGAGGAATTATAGTAAAATGTGTTATTCTAACCAGAGAATAAAGATCCAATGGCAGGAGAACTGTTTCAGGGCATATACATTATTTTCAAAGGAATATTTATTGTTCATTAAATATGAATTATAACAGGAGGTAACAGCACTTCAACAACAGCTCAAATAATTCTTTTCTGGGCAAAAAATAAGCAATATCTATTTAACATATTTTAATTATTGTTTCATTTTAATGAAAATCACTTAGGGACAGTCATAGTTATAATTCAATTTAAATATATTCTTCCTAAGAATGTATTTTTTGAAATCATGGTTGCCATTTTAAACATTAATTGTAAATGCCCTGATAACTACACCAAAGAGATACTCATAAAAATGACACATAGGCTATTGAGGTATTATTTCATAAGAGAAAAATTTTAATGTACATTTAAAAAGGAGTGTTTTCAAATGATAACAGTTCATTACTGAAAATTTGTAGGCAATTTGAGCTCTGAATAAAATTCCAAAATATCTACATTTTACATTTTGTCTTCAAAGTAGAACATTTCACCTTATCCTAAATGTTCTCTAATGGCCTTTTTAGTGGATAACTTTTACTTGTAATTATGACCACTGAGACTGCCATCTTATCATTCAAGTTATAACAGACTATTTCCTCAGAATACTGCTTCATTATTATTTCACTTATAGACCAAAGTGTAGCAAACTCTATATAAAAATATGAATGCCCCGATTATTTAAATAGCAGACACATTAATTACATAAGGTAACAACAACACTATTCTGCTTTACATTAACAGTGTATTATTTGCTCAATAAAATTTTTTAATAGATTATTACTAGAGTGATTTAAGTTTTGGTTACGGAGTTCATTTTGAACGTACTGCATTTTTTTTTGTTGTTGTATCTAATGCTATTCACCTGGTATGTTTTTAATGATTTTCTCTTTTCATTAATTCTGAGTTTCAAACGTTGAATCATCCAAAAGTATTAAAAATTCACATTCTAAACCACAATGTTGGATATATTCAATATTATATAACATAGACTATATGTAGTTTCCCTCTCTCCTTTGTGTATAGAAGTCCAGTTTCAAATTTCAAATACGCATCTGTCTGTTTTCTTTAACTTTTGAGAGCACTTAATTGGAACAACTGAATCTAGGATATTTATTGAAATACCAGACTAGTCAATGAAAAACAACTTGACATAGTAAAAGGAACACTGGATTTGGATTCAGAACAAAAGAAAGGGTTTCAATTCTCCTATGTTCGTTACTAAATGTATGAATTTGGGTAAGTTTATTGACTCTAAGCCTCAATTTTTTCATGGACAATAATATCACATGGTCGCTCTCTGGATTAAATATTCTGAAATCTGAACTCCTTACCATAGCTTAGAGTACCTTATATTATTTGGTCCCTGTCTCATCTCTTACATTTCTTATTCTTTCACCTTGTTCTGGCCACAGTGGTCTTCCTGACACTCTCTAAATGAGTCAGCTCATTCCTACGTCTGAGATCTTGCATTTGCCTTTATTCCCACTTAAGCAGGCTTTTTCCTAGGAAGTCTTTGTATGACTTTTTCCTTTGCATCATTCAGGCATCTCTTTACCCCATCAAGGGTGGTCTTTCCTGGCCTCCTTATCTAACTGGCACCTTAGACTCCTCCACCATGTTTGGTTTCCTAATTAGAAATAAAATAAGGTCTATACTACTTAAGATATTATGTATTTATTCATTTATTTGCCTTCCAGGAGAATTTAAGGTCAATGTGGGCAGAGACATCCTGGCCTGTGACAAAAAACAGTACTTGGCTCACAGCTGTTTCACAATAAATAGTTGAATAAGTCAATGAGTGAATGAGCAATACTTGTAAAGCCCTTTGCCCAGTGTGTGGCATACAATAAGCACTGAAGATATTAATAGTGGTCACAGATAATGAGAACATATTTTTGATATGATGGTCTTTGAAATTGCTCTAGTATAGTTTCTTGATCACAATACAGACATGTGATATTAGGCATGGGTGGGCCTATCAAGGATTACTGACTCCAATCTCTGCTCATCAACCCCTTGCCAGGAATATAAGGAAACCATTTATTTAAAATATTAGGATGTTACTGACTTTTCTCACAACTTCACAAATGTGCCTATTCTGGAAAGAAAGCTATACCAATATCTTCAATAGTTATTTGTATCAGTTGATGTCTGCAAAAATACTGTAGATATTAATTTTTAGCAGAATTTTTTTTAGCACTACTGCAAGCCCTGTGGGCTTAAAATATGAACTGAAGATAAGGCCTTTTATAGTAGTAAACAGATAAAAGGCACAAAAAGATCAAGTGGGCTAACACAGTATACCCTGGTTTATTCTTCCCAAAGATTTAATTATTAATGCCCTTGCAAAATGATGATTTTTCAAATATAATAGCTCTTTATAAATTATGGAGAGAAAAGGGTAAGTTACTTTGCGTAGGTTAAACTGAAAGAGTTGATTTTTATTAATAACATTATGAGGCATATAGAATAAAAAATTACCACAAAAGGTGAACTTAACATATACTTAACAAGTTACTTAAAGATTCGCATTAATGTCAAATCTCATATAGAAAGCTCTTGAGAGATGGAGGATTTATGAATGAATATAGTTGTCTCTACCCTTACTACAGATTATCCTTTTGTGTGTCATGCCTTACCTATCATATATACATGTGTGTGTGTTTGTGTGTGTGTGTGTGTGTGTGTGTATATATATATATATATAATCTTCTTGATCAAAGTGATAGAAACAGAAACAACCTTTAAGCAGTGTTTCTTCCAGTGTTTTCCTTCTGATGTGGTCCATAAAATTAGAAACTCCTGAATGCAATCCCTAAAATTTTCAAATCCTTGGCACTGGAATTCTGGATTCTGATTTACTAAGCTCCAAACATCACAGTTTTGTGTATTCTAAAGGTTTTCAAGCTACTTGAGGTTTTCTACTACAATCTGACAACTCATGCCTCTGCCATGTAAATTCTGATTTAACAGGTCTGGGAAGGAGTCTCAATACATTAATTTTCATAAGTACCCTAAGTGATCCTTAGGATCAGGGAATTTAGATAGTGTTTGTGGTTCTGGATAGAATGTGAAGCTCTTACAGATTCAGGATAGAGTATGTGGTTCTTAAAGATTTGAACTCATCTGAAGGGTACCTGGACATATGTGATTGTACTAGAGACATGACTTAGTCTTGGCCAGGTTAATGAGGAAATAGGTCCTGATCAGAAACAGTGTAAGAGGATATTTCTGACCAAGGTGTGAAGGTAATGTCATTGACAGGTATTACTATGATATGATACATTAAGAAGTCTCTGGAGCTGGAGAAAAATGGTAGCTACATCAAAGTCTAGCTATGCACTCAGAAAATTTCCTGTTTCCTTTGTTTGTATTCTCTACGTGTCGTCTTCTGTTAACAAAGAAATATAAAGAAAAGAGGGATAGCAGAGGGATGTAGAAACTTAATAATTGCTAGGTTTTTTTAAGCACTTACTGTATGCCAGATAATGGTCTAAAAGTATTTTACAAATACCATCTCATTTAATTCTTCAACAACCGTATGTGATGAAGAGGTCAGCATAAAAGTTTAAGCAATGCACCCGAGCTCACACGGTGAGTGATGAACTTAGAATTTGAAACCAGGTAGAATCAAGTGATACAAGGACAATGCAGAAAACAAATCTGCAAAACACAGTTGACACTGTGCTAAATACCTTTAACATATTTGCTCAGATGGTAAACTGTTTTTTACTATTATGTATACTTTTATCTTATAAAATCTTAGTACTCAATCAGATTTTCTCAGTCTGATCTTCATTCCTTACTCTGTCAACAGCCTCTGGTAATAGCAGCTGCAATGGCACCAACAAAAATCCCTCCTGACAATTTACTAATTGGGTTGAAATTAATCTGATTTTTTTCATAATTATAAATTCATTTTGTCATAATACGCAAGATTTAGTTGAAGCATTTTAATTAAGTATTTGGAACCTGCAGAGCCTGATTTTTACAGAAAGGCAATCTTTTTCTAAGCTGGTATTTCAGTGAAGTTTGTCCCCAGGTTGAATTCACAAACTAAAGCCAAGATTGCTGACAGCCTATTAGCATGTTAGAGAGAAATATAATACAGTTAGCTAAAACACTAGGACATCTACATATGAACTATTATTAAACTGTCACTAAACCTGCGTGTGCGTGTGTGTGTGTGTGTGTGTGTGTGTGCGTGTGCATGCGCTACAGATGAGTCGAAAGAATGAAGAAAGAATGAACTTAAGACTCTCCAACTTACTGGGATATTACAGAATATTTATTTTGTTGGATGTTTTTCTCCTTGGAATTATAATATCTAGACTTTCTGAACAGTCATCCATCACAGATAAAAATGTTCAGAATTCTGGGTTCAAGGACTGAGCTGTTTCTTCAGCGTATCTTCAGAGGCTGCCTTCTAGCTCAGTACTAGTCCATTAATCACCACAGTGTGAAAATGATGCACTTAACTGCTTTAATATGCAGCCTACATTCTCGTGTATCTACAATGATACTGTGCAACAATCAGACAATATTTTGCTGACATCAACTTACACCCATGGCATTCACCTAATCTAATGTTTCAGTGGTTCAATCTAAAGAGCAAAAACAAGTTTTTCTTTCCCCCATAAGCCTGTTCTGCCTATCAGTGTTCACACTATCTTCTGATCTAAGAAATTTTAACTTATCTTTTTAATATATTGATTTAGAATCATGAAGAACTCTTTAGTGAGCTATTAGAATTGTAGGCAATGAGTCTATACTTTTAATTACCTGATTTAAAATCTTGACTCTAAACCAAAGTGACTACAAATGGACTAATATTTTCTCAATATTAAAAACTGCACACAGATTTTTATTTCTAAAATAATGCTTTTATCATGTTACTTTATCTCAATATATGAAACTTGAATCAGGAAAAGAATTGCTTATCTTCAGTTTCTCAAGATAACTGATAATAACTGAAAGCATAACACATTTGTGGTTTTCAATATTTTGAAAATGAATTCAATTAGGCCCAATTATTTGAACTCATTTATAACAGTCAGAGGATTGATCTATTTATTTTTATATAATTATTCAATTTCTTCTTAAAAATAGTTTTATGATAAAAGAAGTATGAGCTCATTCTTCCCACATAAATATATACAATGAAAAGTAAAAGTCTCTTGTTGTACTTTATCTTCATTCTTCTTGGAAGCAATCATTATGAAATATGTAGAGCCAGGGAATAATGTGATTAAATAATCTATACAATAATATTATTATGGCTGTGGTATGCAAGACAGGGTTTTGTTCTGCCACCCGGGCTTGATTGCAGTGGTATGATCATGGCTTACTATAGCCTCGACCTCCTGGGCTCAATTGATCCTCCCATTTCAGCCTCCTCAGTAGCTGGGACTACAGGTGCGTGCCACCATACCCAGCTAATTTTTGTACTTTTTTTTTTTTTTGGCAGAGATGGGATTTTGCCATGTTGCCAGGCTGATCTCAAACCCTGGGTTCAAGCTCTCCACTCACTTTGACTTCCCAGGATGCTGGGATTACAGGTGTGAGCCATTGCACCCTGCTTATATGAATAATTATTGATAAATCTTTTTTCCCTTTGTAAAAATCTGAGATTTTGAATAAGAAAGTGTAAAACATAATTTTCAAGGTTCAATCTCTATAGCTACAGTTGAATGAGGAATTATTAAATCATGTGCCTATTTTTGACAGGGGATGTTTCTAGGGTAGGCAAAATAAAATCAATTCATTAATCAGTATTTCATTATTGGTATTACATGAATAAGTGAAAAATGCTGTACATATATTTATATACTTTGCAGACAACAGACTATTTCAGGGCCAAATGGAGTAGTTAAAAAGATATATAAATATATATTTAAATAAACTATAGCAGAGTTTATCTCACAGGAAAAATGAATGCCCATTAAAAGAGAACAGTGAATTCTGACACCTACCCACTGAAAATAAAACAACAAAAAAAGTAAAGTCATGGTGTCAATCAAAAAACATTTTTCTTAATGTCTCAGATAAATGAAAACAAGGGTAAAAAGTAAGGTTAGTTCTAGGACACATGCTGAAATTAATTCCTTGCCTCCATGTTTTTAGTTTAGCTTTGAACCAACACCGTTCAAATTTTAGTAATTTAACAGAGACTTAGGTCATAATCTCCTCCCCCCATTTAAAATCCTTTGGTTTTAAATTGATGGTATTCTGCCGAAAACACAACGGAGAACGGTTTGGGACATATTTAAAGAGGTTACATTTACAAACTCTGTTATAATTTTTCCTGCAAATAGTCAAAAGAGAGATAAACTGTAAATCAACACTAATCAAATGTAAAGACAATGAAATATAAAGACACTCTTTTGATAGGAAGAAAAATAAGTGGTAAGCTTTTAAAGAATTTAGTAATGTTTGTTATTCGATGTGAATAAAATGAAGTTTATTCTCTTTCCCTTTAATTTATTTACATTAGTTACTTACACTATCAACAATTATGTATTGAATACCTACTACCTGCCGGGTACTGTCTGACGTATTATTGAAAATACATCAGTAAACAAAATAGACCAAGTCACAGTCCTTATAGAGCTTACACATTTTACCAGGGAAGACAGACAAAAACACATATAAAATAATTTCAGATGGTAATGAAAATTGTAAGAGAAACTAAAGTGGGATAAGATGTTGGAGAATTATAGGTTAGGGGGATATTCAGACAGATATGAGTACAGGAAAATTTCAGACTCTGAAATTCCTATAACTGACCACTATAGATGATGAAAATGTTTCTTACTGAAAATAAACCTAAATTTTATATTCAACATAATTTCAATTTGCTTAATACTTCCTGTATTCCAAATCACCTCTTAGAGAGCATCTTTTATTTTTCTATCTTAATTTTTCTTCTACAATGTGTAATCATTTGTCTCAGCATACTTTTTCATTAAGAATGTTTCTAAGATTGCCGGGCGCGGTGGCTCAAGCCTGTAATCCCAGCACTTTGGGAGGCCGAGGCGGGTGGATCACAAGGTCAAGAGATCGAGACCATCCTGGTCAACATGGTGAAACCCCGT